GTCTGGGTAGTTCTGTGGCCCTCAAAAATACTTGTGTTTCTGGAGAAGGCAAAAAGAACAGCCCCTATGGTTGTTCCCTAAGATTGGGCTCCAGTATTGCAGTTAATTATATGAGTAGATTTCACCTTATGCAGTTGTTGTATAAGCCCTTCTGAAAAAAAAAGGTTGTGCTTCCCCCCCCCCCAAAATCCCTTTTAGATGTCTTCAGTGAAATTAAGGGAAAGCTTATAGATCTTCTCTGTATTCAACCAAGATATGAAGCTCTAATCAGATATTTGCAAGAGCTGTAATTTCCTTGGGATACAATGGCTCTTTGGGATTGATTAATAGCAGTTTTGTGATAAAGCAAGATTTTAAAACAACTTAAATTCCATCTTCTACTGCCAGAAAATGAGAAGGATAATCAATGGTTCTGAACATCTGTGAAGCATTAAAGGTATCCTTTTGATGGGCAAAAGGTCTTGTAATCATTATTAAAGGACCAAGATAGATGCAACAGATAGCTGAGAGAAACCAATTCTGAACTGCTCATTTCCAAATGCTGTGTCAGTTCACATTGTTGGGTCACACTGATTTCAGGTAAGTTGCCACAATACTAATGAGGAAATAGATGGTAAGAAATGATAAAATGGGTCCAGAAATGCATATTTGAACTAAAGTAAGTCTTAGATCTGAAAATGCTTAAATTTTTGCTTCTGGTTTCTCATTCTGCTTCTCCGCATACTGGAAAAGAGGTTCAAATTGAATGTTACTTTGAAAACAAAGCATGTATATATTTGCTTTCTTCCTTGATGAAAAGTAAGTGTAAGGGACACCAAAGGACCTAATTTAGGAGTGATTTAACCCTTTGTCCTCTACTGTTATTCATATCTGGGAAAGTCTGATCAAGGAGCATGACTGCAATCTGAAGAGCAGACAAAGATGTATGTCTTCTTCCAACATACCTCTGTGCTTACTTCTGAATAAGGAAAACAAATGCCTTTAGCAAGGCATTCAGAAATCACATAGTTTGACTCTAAGTGGGAAGCAGCATCCATACAGGTAGAATAGCATGCTGTATACTGACCAATAGAAGCCAGTTGACAAATCTACAGTCCCGCAGAACAGCCAAGGTTTGCTTTATCAGTTTATTGTGTAAATGACAAATGCTTGAACTCATACATCATGCAAAGACATAAATCATGATTTACAAATGACATATAGGTTCCCTTGTATGCGAAACCAAAACTAAAGAAGCCACCTTATGGCTTAGGGGTGATAGGTGAACCCAGCCTGTGGCTATCAGCAAGAAAACAAAGAATTTCATCAAAAGGGAAGAAGCCCACAGCTGAGCTTTCTCTGACCAAAGTGAACACTTGAGACGCACGCATGCCAGTGCTAGCATGAAATTAATTTTCTAGGGATGTCAGATGGAGGAAATTAGAAGAACACAATTATGGTTAAATGTGATTTCAATTAATGTTACCTCAACAAAACAAACATGACAGGAAGCATGCACAGTGCTAAGAAAATGACATATATTAAGAAACAAACTGACAGTGAAAAGGGGTATAAGATCTTCATAAATTAAAAAGCAATAAAGACCATTATCTTCATATATTATCTGGGAAACTATGTTCCGTTGAGTAGAATATTCAATAATTCTAATGTCCTTCTATTACCGTGATTATTTTTATAAACATGTTAGTCAGAAAAGTATGCAATTTATTTTAATTGCTACTCTTTCTAACAAGGGCATCTATTATGCTTCCTTTTTGTTATGCTGCCTTGCTTTATTTTACAGTAAAAACCATTGCTCAAAACCAACCCCACTGAGCTATAGAGGAGCATCCTCAGGAAGGGTAAAAAAAAAAAAAAGTCTAGATGAAGCCTGTGGCCATGTGACTGAAACTCTGCTCCCCTTTTCAAAAAGGGGTGAGGTTTTCGTTGTGCAGCCACGTTGGCCACCTTGATTTTTAGCCCTTCATCTGCCCATGGATGCCCCTGGTGCTATGCATTACAGAAGGCTTATCTCCTTAGGTATCTATCACTTGAATGTCTATACGTGTCATGGATAAGAAAATAAAACAATATTTCTTATTTGGAACCATCGGTACACAAGGAAGGAGTAATGTACCCTGGAACATCTGCTGACATGAGTATAAGAGTCAACTCAATTTTTGTGGCTATGTACTCTAAAAAACAATGATCAGCTACATCCAAATTACATAAAATATTTTTACGTTGTTGAGCAACAAAACATTTATGAAACAATTCACCAACAATTTCTAAATTTTGGCTTTATTTTACAGAATCAAAACAGTAAGAAAAACACTTAAATATGGTAAGAGAACCCCATTCAAGAACAATCCAAAACAAGTATGTGTCATTAACACAGCAGTTTTAAATGAGGTATATTTTAGTCATTATTAAACTTCCAAAGTTTAACTTCACAGTCTACCTGAGCGACATTTTGAATTTATTGCGAAAACTATGGTGTTAATAAAAGGTTTTAAACTCAAGTGAAACAAAGTGCAACTCTAAAAATCTCAAATTAATCCATGATGTAAGTTATTTCAGCAACTATTCTGACTGGTTATTTATTGTAAAGATACTGTTATAATACTGCAGTAAGTTTAATCAACCACCTTGTTAGCCCTGGCAGCATTTGGGTAGTTTAAAGGAGAATGCAAAACCTGTTTAGATAAGCAGTGCTTCTTTGGATGAATAGATGGCCAAGCAGAGAAAACAGGCAGGAATGCTTGGCAAAAAGGGACACTGACAATAAGACATTCCAACATTCTCCAATTAGCAATCAATTTCAGGCTGCACACCCAAATCTCCGGTCCCACTGATAACATAAGGACTACTTCTTTGTAAGATCTGAATCTAGGTTTCCCATTCAGAAGACTTGAAAAGGTGCCGGATTCCTGTTCACCTACAGGTGGTCAGCAGTCTTCTCAGGTGGCCAGCACTGTGGCACAATTTTGAGTGATGTTGGGGATAAAAGATTTTTCAAGCGTTAGCTATCTTGCAAGATTCCGGCCATTAAAAATATTACTTTTCATTAAAATTTGGGGTGAGTGGGTACCATCTACGAGTGCCACAGATGTTATGGTGCCTGTGGGCACCACATTATAAAGCCCTTAACTAGACAAGAAACATTAAAATTGCTAGAAATGTCTGGAAGACCTTTTAATGCTAGGTGTAGGAATTCATGGCCATTAAAAACACCCCTGTCTTTGATGCATGCATGTCTTTTCCTTCTGAATACAAAAGTTGGCATGTTTCATTTTTCACTCAAAATCTGCCTTAGCATATATAACATTCTTTGCATATTCTTATTGAACAGGATGCCTATAGTACATTATAGTTCTCCACACTTGAGAAAACATTCCCCTTGCCCTGCAATCTGATGGTATTTAGAGAACCATTTATGGATTATTTACCACTGAACAGACTGGGTTTCTACAGTCTCTTACTCTGCCTTTCTACTTAATTTAACAATCAGCTAAGATATATTTGCATGAAGGTACTTTCATGATTGGGATTCTGACAGGGTTCAGAATATCT